CTGGACGCCCACTAGCGAACTTTGAGCTGATTTGAAAGTTCAGTTACTTTTCTCTCTCCTCTTTACTTTAATGCATGATTTTCAGGGGTTTTGAACCTGCTTTTGGCATAATAGGTTTTACACACATTTTAATGTTGTAATACATATCATATATCATTGTGGAATTCAAATTTTGTACGCTTCTAGATAGAGAAAATGAGGAATAACTAGGGTTCTTGAGTGTTTTTGAGCGTGGCTGCTATGGAGCTGAAGATGGAGTCTTCATCTTCAACCATTACAGCTTCAACTACCACCAGGATGAGCTAAATCCCCTCGTAGGGGATTGAGGTAGCCTTGATCAAAGTAGTCATATAATTCTTGTAATTTAATTTGGGGAATAATATTGTATGTAATGGATTTCATGAATAAGATGATGATTTATATGCAATTTGTGTATTACATTAAATTGATGTATAATCTGGGCAGAATTTATATATATAAGTATATCTACCATGTAATTCTTGTCTTGGAACCATGTTTTGATACTTGTACTCTTGATATCTTGATAACGATAATGAAGATTGTTTTCATGAAATAGGATTATAGGCATGTCATGTATGACTTAGGATAAATTATGCCAAGGGAAGATGGACAATGCTACACACTTAGATTAATGTAGTTAGGTAGATGGTCTATGCCAACCAAAGATAGTTTATGCTAGATAATTGCTTTTATGTGCTAAAACTTGCAATTTCAAGACTTTGATTGGCTATGCCTAGGGAAGATGGCTCATACCACACCCTAGTTTAGGTGGATAAGCCATGTCAACCGCAGATGGGTTATGCTTAGTCTTGAGTTGCATGAATTTCTGGAAAATTGTTGTAGTCGTGAATGCTTCTGCACTTTATTATTACATATAGTTGTTTTCCCCAAGTTATTTACACTAAAGAATGATTACGAGGTCTTGGTGAACTCAATTCCCTAGCCTCCCTTTAATTGTTATTTTAATCTTTGAATTTGATTTATCTTTATTTAAATTTTATGCTAAGAGACAAATAAACAAACAATTCTTCAAACCATCTTGTGACATTAACACGCTTAAAATTAGTTTTTGAAATCTGATTACCATAAGCTTCGCAATCTTCGTGGATCGATACCCCTTCTTAGTTGCTTTCTTCGTGTTTGTGTTAGTCGATGGTTTTATAATTGACGTGGCCCTGCGCGACACATCATAAGTTAGTTGATTTGCATTTCATTAATTTTTTTCGTACCTAAGTGAAAATTTTCATATATTGGTATTTTTTAAAATGCTTTGATATGTGTTGAAATATGCACAATTTAGCCCTTACTAATGCATTAGTTAGCACCTTAATCTATCTTTACTTTTGTGTTTTTCTCTTGATTTGCTTTATTCCCCATTTTCAGGTATTTGAGATCTAACAGGGTTAATTCCAACGCTTTAAAGATCTATAGATGCCAAGCTTTGGAGAGGACTTGAAGAAAAGATAAAGACTCAAGATCAAGAAGGCCCGATCAATCGGATCACTGTTCGGAATATGATCAATCGGATAACTAATCGGATCACTACTCGGGATCCGATCGATTACTGCTTAAAGTAATTGTAGTTAGGGAGACAATTCATGCTTGAGTTTGGTAATTCATGCTTATTTATTGCAATTATAGTATCTTCTTACTTATTGATTCGTACTTATAGCCACATCTTCATTTTACAACTTGATTTCCCTATTAATTGAAAGCATTTGGTGCAATTACGTAGGTTTAGTGGTGAAATCCATGCCCTATGTCTCTCTCTCTCTCTCTTATTTCTAATCCATTTAAATTTTAGTATCATCTCAATTTCCATTATACATTTAGTTTAAATAAACGACTCATCATCTTTACAATCTCATGATCATTAATGCTAAACTCAATTCAAGCCTATCGTCTTCATGTTCGACCCTTATTCACCTTGTTCTACTTAATGGTAGTGGTATATATTAATTTAAAGTTGTTCACTGCTACTCTTTATCACATTGCAAATTTTATCTCAAATTGCTAAGTTAATTCTTAAAAGAAGAGTGATGATCAACTTTTTGGCGCCATTGTCGGTGAGATGGTCCCCTACCTCAAAAGACAAAGATCTTCTCCTCCTGTCAGCATAACTTTTCGGCCTACTCTGAGCCATAACCAACCACTGTCGGATCAACTTGATCTTCTTTGTAGTCTCATTAACAACGTCGGGACCTGAGACGACTGCATCACCTACTTCGGTCACAAACTAGAGATCTGCAAGGTCTGTAATACAACGCCTCGAGAGGTGCCATGCCGATACTGGCCTAATAACTGTTGTTGTAGGCAAACTCAACTAAAGGTAAGTAGTCTTCCCAACTACCCCCAAAATCCAAGAATGCAAGCCCGTAGCATATCCTCCAATATTTGAATGGTGTGTTCCAACCGACCATCAGTTTGAGGATGGAATGCAGTGCTGAAATGAAGCCCCGTGTCAAGAGCCTCCTGAAAACCCTGCCAAAAGTGAGATATGAACCGAGGATCCCTATCCGAAACAATGGATACAAGAACCCCGTGAAGCCTGACAATGTGCCTCACATATAGTCCACTAAGCGTCTCTGCGTCATATGTCACTTCCATAAGCAAAAAATGAACCGTCAACCTGTCAACTATGACCCAAACGGCATCATTCCCTGCCTGGGTTCCATTCTGCTACTGGTAATGGTAGCAACAACTCTGTCAGTCTCTGATGCTCTGCCTTCACTTATTAACAAATAAGGCACTTAGCCACAAACTGAGAAACATCCCGCTTTATACCTTTCCACCAAAACTGTCATCTTAAATTGTGATATCTTCGTACCACCTGGATGAACGGCAAGTCGAGAATGGTGAAAATTCCGAAGAACAACATCACGACAAAACAAAGGAACGAACATCATCCCCCTATACCTAAGACCATGATCTAAATGCAAGGTCTGACCCTCTACATTCTCACCATTTGAAATTCGTGTGTGAATGGACTCCATCTCACCATCATCCCGCTGTGCCTCAATAACCCTGCTAATAAGAGCTGATTGAGCCACAAGGCTAAACAAAATAGCCGGTGAATCATCCTCATATAACTGTAATCCAAGATCTGCAAGCTCCTCTAACATCTTCCTTTTATGAATAAAAATGCTAGCCAGAGTCCCCCGCGACTTCCAACTCAAGACATCGGCCTTCCTGGGTGATACTGCAACTCAAAGTCGTAGTCCTCCATAAACTCCACCTATTTGCGTTGCCTCAAGTTCAAGTCCTTTTGTAAGAAAAGATACTTGAGACTCTTGGGATTGGAGTAAACCACAAACTTCACCCCATACAAGTAATGTCTCAATCCTTTCAGTGCAAAAGTCACTACTGCCAATTCCAAATCATGCGTCGAATAATTCAACTCATGGGTCTTCAACTGTCTAGACCTATAAGCAACTACCCGCTCCGTCTGCATCAGAATACAACCCAACCTTCCAGTGAAGCATTACATAAAATCATATAACCTAAACCACGTTCAGGTATGATCAGAACTGGAGCTGATATCAATCTAACCTTCAACTCCTGAAAAGCTAAGTCACAAGCCTCATTCCATATGAACTTGACTCCCTTGCGGGTAAATCGAGTCATAGGTACCCTTAAACGAGAGAAATACCTAACAATTTTCTACCAATAACCGACTAGGCCAAGAAAACTCCGAATCTCGAACACACTCGTCAAACGTCCCAAATCCATCATTGCATCAATCTTTAACAGATCAACTGAAACACCACCTCCTGATATAACATGACCAAGGAACTTCACTTCAGGTAACCAAAACTGACACTTCTCGTACTTGGCATACAATTGGTTATCCCTGAGGATCTGTAAAACTGTTCTCAAGTGATAATACCTATTTTTTTTTTTTTTTTTTTCAACTCAAAACAGATAATTTGTTCAACAAAGTTAAATTTTTTTGAGGTATTTTTTTTTTCAGTCATGTCAAAAGAGGTAAACTTTTTTTTTTTTTTGTTGAAATTTTTTTATGAGTTCCATCAAAAGAGATAATTTATTCAATAGAAATAATGTGTCTTTGTTTCTTTCGTCGTTTTTCTTTCTTTTTTTTTTTTTTTTTTCAAAAGAGATAAATTACTCATAGATATTTTTTTTGAATCCTCTTTTTATTTATTTATTTATTTTGGGTACTTTGTTTTTTGGATCTTGAGATAATTTTTTCAATAAAGATATTTTTTTAACTATGTATTTTTTTTTTTTTGTTAAGTCATAAGAGGTAATTTATTCAACAAAAATAGCTTTTATTTTGAATAATTTTTTTTGGTCCTATAAAAAAAATTATTTAACAGAGATAACAATTTTTTTTTTTTTTTGCTTTGTCAAAAGAGACCTAAAATATTAAAGAATAGAGGCGAAAAGAATAATTTTGAAAGGACAATTGTGTTATTTAAAAAATATTACTATTTACTTACAAAGTTAGAGTTAGAATTGTCATTTCCTTTAAGATTGGAGTTCAAATCTAAAAAAGTGGAGTGCTAATATGATCTTCCTGTTTTTTTAGTTTTATTTTTTTAGTATCTGGTACTTTATGTCGAGGTTAAAGTCGAGTCTATCAAACTCGTGTAAAATAACTTGGCTAAAAATTAATAAATAAATTGTTTTTATTAAATTTTAATATATTTTTTTTGATAAATATTTTACTACCACCGATCACTAAAAAAATAGAAAAATAATTTCTTTCATCCCAATAAACCTAGCCTAAGCGCTAGTTATTAAAGTGTCATTATTGTTACCGCTACTACAAAGTACAAAATGCTAATAACCGTTAAAATCTTGAGGATTAATGTAACTTCAGCAAATTTCCGGGAAAAAAAAAAAAAAAAATTAACTTCAGTTCCGAGTCTTCTGACCAAGGTCCAAGCAACTGAAGGAGCAACCTGACGTGGCGGTCTCCGGTTGGTCAGTAATTATAGAGGACTACTTAAAATTCACAGAAGCGAGGACCGGTTACTGTGAGAACGAATAACCGGAGTTCGACAAAGCACTTCGAAGTCTGAAGGAACGAACTGTTTCTCGCCGTTGTTCAGTCTCCGGCAAGCCGACGGTGAATATTTCTTTTCTTTCTTTGTTGAGTTTGGTCTTTTCTTCTCCTCCCTGCTCGATACTCAGATCAGGGTTAGGGTTTTTGTTGTTTTACTCTTACGCATTCTCTTTAATCCACTTCTTTCTGTGTGTGTGTGTGGTGGGAGAAATGTTCGCTTTGTATTTGCAATTTTGCAACCATATATACACATATATCACAGTATTTGCACCATACATTTCATTTACCATTATCACATTATTTTGCATAAGTTTATCCTTGTTGAAGGTGAAAATTTGTGCCCATCCTTATTGTTTATGGGGTCATTTACTTCTAATTGCTCTCTGCCTCTGAGTCTGAGCTGCATTTTGTCCTCCTATGCCATAGCTCACACAACCCAGATCTTTTTAATCTGCAAATGCAGGCAGAGGCGTCAACCAATATAATTAAGATTCAACGAAGCTATAATTTCATACAACTTTTTTTTTTTTCCCTTCATGAATGGGTGGTTGTTTCATTCCAAAAGATATTGCAATACAGTAGAATGGAAAAAGAGGACATGCCCTCCTAGGAAATCAACAATACAACTATACAAGAATGAATACATCGACTACCAATAGGACTGTCTGAACCAATCCAACAACAAATCAAAAAGGCAAAGCTGCCTGAAGAGATATAGAGGCTGCGTCAAGGTCATTGAACCATATAGTCTTCGCAAGCTCAGAGGAGTCTCTCCTGATACTCTAATGAAGTCTCATGTTCCTCTCCAGCCAAATTCCCCAAACCACAGCTGCAAAAAATCAAAAACTATTCTCTGAATTCTGGAATCAACATTGTTTTGAAACCAGACTACAAATTGCTCTAGTTTACTGCCTGAATCTGTGAACTAATGCCAAGTCCACTAAAAAAACTGTCTAAAAACAACACCCAAAGAACAAATGATCCTGCTCATATACATGGCATTTACAACCCTCTTTTCTGCAGGTTGTGAAAAGAAGGAATTTTATTAAGAAACACCAACCAAGTAGTGATAGAGCACCTTGGTCTACCCTTGCTCCAACATATAGATGACCAATGAAAAAAGGGATATTGAGTTCTGCACTTATTCCAAGCACTCTTGAAAGTGAAACTGCCATTATCCCATAGCCATTTGTCCTGCCTATCAGAAATGGATATTCCCTGAAGAAAACTCTTCAAATGCAGTTTTGTACTTGTTATTGATAGAAGTGCGAGTAACACACTTCTTCTTCAAAGCTGTGATTATAGAGTTTTTTTTTGTTTACTTGGCTAATTTTCTTTGACGGATCGATTGCATTTCGATCTATTTAAAGGAAAGATGACCCTGGACAAGTAGAATGGTATTTTGCAGTCAATCCCAAATAGTTAGACAACGCTTTTTTGAGTAGTGATACATACATAAATCTAGAACTCTCAATTGGGAGGCTTGGTTTCTTATTATGTGTTCAACACAAGAAGATAGGAAAAACAATAATAAAGAAGCAAACAATTTTTTTATGAACTAATGAAACTTTGTGTTCAAACAGTAACTCAACTACAATTCTCAAATTATCATTTATATCTCTCTCTCTTAGAATTCAAAGAGATGCAATTCCTTCTAAGTAAAAGGAATAAGTATGGAGCATAGCCATGAATGTACCTATCCAAATGATCTATCACCGCTTTTGATGGGGAAACTTCTCTTTTCTGACTGGTTCAAGCTTATCTGATTTGGTTAGAGGGACTCTGTTGTTGGGAATCTCATCATCACTACATAAAGTTGAAAATGCCATAGCAGTAGAACTGTACTAGGACAACTCTCTTGGAGGTCATTTTAGAAACTGTCTTTTGATGGATTTTGAGGTGCAGGGGCTTTAGCACTATCCTTTCTGTTGAAAGCATGGTAGTCTCATGCACAATAATAATGCCCTTCAAAAGAGGTAACAAATTTCAGCTTCTATATCAGGAAAGCTTTTCCAATCCATCAACACAAACAAAGATCACAAGCCCCACCTGCTTGTTTTTGGTTAAACCATCCCTTTCTTTTTGGGAAAACATCAGGGGTGTCTTTCATTATCATCAAATGTTCTTCCCCCACTTTGGCATGTTTTGAGAACAGCGTTGTATTTGGCTAATCTTTACTCTCACACGCACTCAAAGGATGATAACACAGGTTTTCCATTTGGTATTGGCCACTGCTGTTGTTGGTCACAAAAAGAAGATTTAGGATTCCATGGTGCAATAGTTCATTTGAACAACAATTATTTTTAGGTCTGACCACTAAATTAGTCTAATTTTCTCAAGCCTAACAATTCTTTTACTATGCATAACTCTTCTTCATCCATGGGCCCCACAGCTTTCTCTTTTCTCCTCATCTACAACTTAGCTTTTGCGTTTGAGATAAGATGTCTCTCAACAGCCTCTCCAATTTCTTGAGAACCAAAGAAAATAAGCATATTGTGAAAGGAAAATTGAAACTAGATCAATTTCCACATTTAAAGGTTTTTTATTTTTTATTCTTATTTTTTATTTTCATTTTAAAAAAGAATGAAACTTTATCATCTTTTTCTCTGAGTCATTCTCGTCCTGGATATCTAGTCTCCTTTTGGGTCTTCTTCTTCAGCTCAGAAAGAGAGCAAATGTCTGTTATTAGTATCGAATCCTCACAATCTATCCAGTTCAATCGATTTGTCAAATTGAGTTTGACAAATCAGTTTGAAGATGAACTTGTTTCTCGCCGCTCCGCAAGGCAACGGTAAAATTACCAGTGGTGATTATTATTTTTTGTTTGTTATTTGATTTGAGCTCACCTTTTCTTAGATGCATTTATTTATTTACTATTTCATTTGTTTTCCATTTTTTGTAGTTTACTTAGTGTATGCTTTATTCGTTATTTTGCACACAGAAGAGATTTCTATTTGTCCAAAAAAGAGCTTTTAGATTTGGAAAATTGTGTTGGTTGATAGTCCAATATCATTATAAAGAATTTAAATGCAGGAAATGTCCCTGGTTTCATGCATTTAACTTGTTGATGAAATTACTTTAAAAAAATCTGATGGAATAATGAACAGCCCCCAAGTCTGAATTATTGTATACATAATATTTGCTTGCTTCCTGTTAGCTTATAGCACTTAGGTTGACAAATCTGTGATCAAAACATGGCGTCTGTAATTTTGTTTATTTTACGGTGTGTAGTTAGTTAAGTTGGTTATGACACCTTGTCCAAGAGAAAATCAGAAATTTCACAAGTATGTAAGGAAAGAAAGGTAATTACAACTTGATTTGGGACTCTCACTAACCAGCATTTAACAATTAGGCTTTCATGATTTTCCTATTGGATTCATCTAATCCTTTTTTGATTTGCATTGAATTGTTTACGAAAACTTAATAAAATTAGAATCCTAATCTAAGAAGGATAGCAGACTTCGATTGATTGAGGGATCTACCGAAGCCTAGTGGCCTTGTGTCGATTGACCGACACTTGGCTTGATCGGTCAAGTAGGTTGGAATTCAGTTTCCTTTTTGAATTGAATTACTTAAGATCTAGGAAGCACATACACTTCTCTTTGGGGTGCTGTGACTGTGTAGGGCATGTGTTTGATGCCGACATGCGTGGGACACAGTCAGACAATTGTCTGACATGGCTAGAGGTGTCCTGCAATTTGAATTTTTTTTTTCCGTTGGTCGGACACGGCGTGGAGGACACCTTTGGTACAATTTTAGGTTATAACAGAATAGTTTTGAAAATATTTTTTTAGAAGAATGGGATTCCAATGCAAATTTAAAAAAGGATTAGATGATCCTCAAGCCGCCCCATCACGTTGGTCATGGACTCCTCCATGTCTTCCTAGTGTGCCTCAAAGCCTGCAGCGATGTCCTTCGACTTAGCCCTCGTCCTCGGTTCGGCTGGAGGGCGATTTTCCTCCCTACCACGCGGCTCCTCCTCTGGGATGTTAGTGTTAGCATATTTGAAAGTCGTGATTTATGGAATGATTTCTCATATTAGCAGATATTTGATTTAGATTTGATTTAGTTTCTTTTCTTGTAATATGAGCATGTGCTCTTATTTTATCTCTTATTTTATCTATAAATACTAGAGCTGTGAATGAGTGATTAATATCATTCAAGCTTTTACATATTATAAATCTCATTTAAACCTTTTACACAATTCTCTCATTTTTCTTTTTTTTATATTTCTACTTGGTATCAGAACCAAGGTGGTCCGACTGCAATAAGGGCATTGTGAGTTCGGCACCGCCCATTCGGGAATGGTCTAATGCCCGTCCACGAGGTGTCGAGTAGGTAGGGTGGTCCAACTGCAATGAGGGCATTGCGAGTTCGGCACCCACCCATTCAGAAACGGTGAGACATAGTTGTTTCTTTTTTGTGGTCTGAGGAGACATATTTGTTTTTTTTTTTTTTATGGTCTGAGGAGACATTGTTGATTCTTTCTTCTACATTGTTTAAATATATGTATAAAGGGGAATAGTCTGAGGAGACATTGTTGATTCTTCCATCTACATGTTTTAAACATGTGAAGGGGAATGATCTGAGGAGACATTGTTGGTTGTTTACTGCCTGAGGAGACATATTGTTGTTTCTTTACGGTCTGAGGAGACATTGTTGGTTGTTTACAGTCTGAGGAGATGTGATTGGTTGTTTACGGTCTGAGGAGACATTATTAATTTTTTATGGTCTGAGGAGACATTTTTAGTTTGTTGATCAACATTTTTAATCTAGTCAGATTTGCACTCTGCAACTTGTAAATTCTGAAGAAGGGTGCTATCAAGACCGTGTTTGAAGATGCGTTGTCCAAGTTGGGCGTTTCAGATATCCACGCACCAACTTGAGGGGTAGTGTTAGTATATATGATAGCCACGATTTATGGAATGACTTGCCATATTAGCATAGATTTGCTTATGCATATGTTAGCATATATGATAACCATGATTTATGGAATGACTTATCATATTAGTAGATATTTGATTTAGTTTCTTTTCTTGTAATATGAGCACGTGCTCTTATTTTATCTATAAATACTAGAGCTGTAAATGAGTGATTAATATCATTCAAGCTTTTACATATTATAAATCTCATTCAAACCTTTGACACAATTATCTCATTTTTCTTTTTATATTTCTACTGTTAGTCACGTCTGAGTGCTCCACCATAGCTTCCTTCACACAAGGTGTGACGCCTCACGACCTTAGCTTTAATACAAACTGTCACGGACTTGGACCTTTCCAAGCTCACGTGCAGCCTTAGACACGTTTAAGCCCCCTTGAAGTGCTAAGTCAGCCTACCCGAGTGTACTAGCTTAGTGAAGACTAAGGCTAGACAAGTGCTTGCTTGCAAGTGTGTGTATAGGAAGAGAGTTAGGCAAGTGAGCAAGAGAGTTTGGGAATGTAGAACTTGTATTGCACTAGAGAATATTACACTTGGTTGCTTGGTGAGGAGCAAATGAACTCCCACCTCCCATTTATAGGACTTTGGTCCTTACAAGAAAGTTCCAGAAATGTACAAAGGAGAGGTCTAGAATGGGGTTATAGAATCGTCCAAAGAATAATCTATACAATTCTAGAATAATCTAGAAAAGACTATACATATCTACACAACTCTAGATAAGTATAGAAGGGTCTAGACAACTTCACACTACTCTAGAGAATTCCGGAAAGTTCCATACTTGTGTAGAGAAGGCTAGAAAGTTCTCAGTCCATGTAGGCTGCCATGTCATCTCATTCTGGGCGTCTGCGTGGCCTAACCTATGGTTGCGGGGCATGACAAAATGCTGTAAAGGATATTCTGGAAGAACTAGCAATTCGAGTCCTAGATGGATTCAACCTCTGTAAAGCATTATAAATAGAGGCCAGTCCTTCCAAGTAAAGATATACAAGTTTTCTGTTAAACATTAATCTGAATAGTTATTTTTGAGTGTTGTGAGTTTCATTGACTTTTCCAAGTTAACAAATTTTCGCACCTATATACTTTAATGCATCTCAAAAAGCATTTAGATGAATCAAATATAAAAATCTTTTTTGTTTTTTGTTTTGTTTTGTTTTTTTTTTTTTTTTTTGGGTAATTGAATCAAATATAAAAATCATGAAACCCTAATTGCTAAGCGCATGAACCCTGGTTGGTGAGTGTCCCAATTCAAGTTGTTTGTCATCGCTTTAGTATTCATTAATATATGAAATTTTAGATTAAGAGTAAAAATGGTTATGATAGGCAACAATTTTACTTATCATTGCAAATCTGAAGGAAAGTTGAATGAGGCAGCATATTATTTTCCAAAATGAAACAATGTGGGTTATGGATTTATACTTCTTTGTTACAAAAATCTTTATTTTTCGCACATACCATGATAACCATAAGATATTACACGCACATAATTACAATCATGAAATCCTAATTGCAAAATGCATGAACACTAGTTGGTGAGTGTCCCAATTCAAGTTGTTTGTCCACGCATTAGCATTCATTAATATATGAAGAATTTATATTAGGAGCAAAAATGGTTATGATAGGCAACAAGTTCACTTAATCATTGCAAATCTGAAGGAAATTTAAATGAGGAATTATATTATTTGCCAAAATGAAACAACGTGGGTTATAATTTATACTTATCTGTTATTAAAATCTTCATTTGTGGCACATACCATGATAATTATAAGATATTACATGCACATAATTAAACTTTTCCGTAAATTAAATTCTTCACCTAAAGAAAGATCGAACCATATATTTCATGTTATTTACTGGCAGTGATCAGTCTACATGATGAGACGAATTAACTTTCCTTCTTAAATAGTTTTTCCCTAAGCTATTTTTACTTTCTTGAAAAATAAATGAAGTATCTTCGATTCTTCCTTAAACTTTGAAGAATTTAGAATTTTTAAGCACCACAAACACTGTTGTCAATTAGTTATTTATGAAGACTAAGATAGAGATACCCAACGCGAGATGGTGGATGGTAATGGAGGTTTAACAGATATATTTTTTGCCTTTTTGTTACTTGACAGATTCTACTTGATTGCAGCAAACAATTTAATGCAACTGCTGATACCATTACACATATAACCAATGTCTTTTCTTTCCTGAATCACATATTACCAATGTCGGTTTTATATTGTGCCATTATCACCCAAGAAAAACTTAAAATAATTAAAAGATTGTTTTACCTTCTTGAATTGAGGTTGATATAATGATTGTCCTCGTATAAGCAGTGATAGAACATTTCCTATGAAATTGAATATGAGATATTCTTGCTTTTGTGATTATTAGTGACTTATTGGTGAGATATGGGCTCTAACTAATGCATGTTAACTTCTCTGTCGTTATGCATTTACCAGTTTTCATATGATTTTGTATATATTAAGATCATTAGACCAAATCCAGCATGTACGCTTGCCATGGGAGTACCTAGGTGGGCAACCATGCATGTTAACTTCTCTGTCGTTATGCATTTACCAGTTTTCATATGGTTTTGTTTATAGTAAGATCAGTAGACCAAATCCAGCATGTACGCTTCCCATGGGAGTACCTAGGTGGGCAACCATGTTTGGACTCTCCTGACCATGCTGCTGAAGATATATGAACATATCATCATATTAGGTCGATGAATGTGGATTTAAAATATTTTAGTTGAAGCCTGTCTATATTGGTTTTATAGAAACTGGACCAGTAATTGAACTTGGAAAGCATCTGGTTAGTTTTTTAGGCGGGACTTGTGGTTCAATCTGTCAAACTGGTTAATAAATTCCATTAAATTGTTATTACTGAATAGGAAAGTGTTATGAATGTGTATTTAAACATTTTTGTTGAAGCCTGTGTATATCGGTGTTATAGAAAATATGGACCAGTAATTGAACTAGGAAATCGTCTGGTTAGTTTTTTTGGGTGGGCCTGGTGGTTCAGTCAGTCAAACTGGCAAATATATTCATCATGGAATTGTTTTTACTAAAAATTTAGTGTTAAAACAGAATAATTAATAAAAGCATCATCCATTTTGTCATTTAATGAACATTCACCACATGTTTTATATCTTTAACAGGCTTGTCATTATTTTGCTCCATTAATATCGTGTACGTGTTGCAGATTGTATCATGCGTCACTACCAAGATAATAGAATTAACTAAGAATGTCCACACTAAACACATGCTATTGCTTTCTTTATAAATTTGTAACTTCTATTAAAATCAGTCAATCTAACCTGCTTCCAAGTGATTAAAAAACACTCTATGGTTTACATTCTTTGCCTTTTTGTATGTCTTGTGTTTGAAAGTTTTCAATTGAGAGGACTCTTGTTAATAATTTAATCCGCATATCGTTGCTGATCTGTGTGCTACCTTTTCTAAATTTTCAAAGCTACTAATCAAGAAAAACAAAGCTAAGTATGGATTTTGTTTGATACTTCTGAAAATACATGCTATTGTTTTTTTCTCAAAGTTTTTCTCAACTGTATGCATTTTGTTCTATTTGGGTATGGTTGCCTGTAATTGAATGCACAAGCATTGCTCACTACTTGATATAGAGATTTTAAGTTTTATTTATTTATCATTTAGAGGTTCATAAAAAATATAAAATGGAACCCGGCTTTCCCATACACCAGTGCATGCACAATATATATATTCACTGGCTTCAAACAATAGGTAAAATTTCTAACCCTTTTTTTTTTCTTTTCCGAAATTAAAGCAACTGACATATTGATGGAATGGGGATTCCTACCACTGGGCTATCATACCACATCCCTAAAATTTCTAACTTGCAGGAGGTGAATATTGACTGAAGCCTGTAGAAGTGAACTTGGAAACATGAATGTGGAAGAGTGTGTAGTTCCTCAAATGAAGCCTGCTGTTGTTTTGACTGGAACTGCCAAGGAAAGATCTGGACCACTTGTTGGTCTGGTTGACATTGGTGTCAGTGAAGGTGCTTACTTTTTTCAGGTTGCCTTGCCTGGTGTTCGGAAAACTCAATGTAAGATCCTTCTTTTTTCTTCAATTATCAGACATGCTATGTGGGTGATTTGTGAATACAAATATAATCACACAATCTCGACTATGGACTTGAAACTTTGAATTCTGGCCATGAGACTAGAATAAATTACCATGTCATTTAAGTTTTACCATCACATTGGAGACCAGACTTGTGAGGTTCATGATGTTGTGCAGAATGCTATGGCATGTGCTGCGCGCTTAAATAGGTGACACATTTTGAAATGTTTTTATACTCAGCTGTTAGTAAAATGTAGGTACAACTAATAATGCTTCAGGAAATTTAGCATCTGCATTAATTCGCGCAATATTCTCAATGAATAATTGGGAAAGAGAACATATTTCTGATCTGATGGAGCTTGTTTGTGAATGTAGGTAACGTGAAGTGTCATATCCAACGTGATGGGAGGGTGCATATAGAAGGACTGATAACCGGTGGAGGAGTTCTGCAGGATCCTTCAAGTTTGTACGAGTTGAAAGTCCAGCAATTATCTCCACCTGGACCATTCACAGTCTCTTTTAATTTGCCGGGACCTGTTGACCCAAGACTATCTTCGCATAATTTTAAGTCTGACGGCATCCTTGAAGTCATTGTCAGGAAATTCAGACGGCCTAGTGTTCTGCCGGATGGTTTTCCGTCTTTGTAATTTGAGGACTACCAAACCAAAATTTACATGTTAATCCTACATAGCCTTGTTTGGGAAAATTTGGGTTATATTGTGTTGTGAAAGGACACTCATCACTGTGGACCATGCTTCTGCTTACTACTAGAATTTTTTATTTTTATTTTTATTATTAATTTTTGTGGGTAAACTGTATACTACGGCTACTTGTGCAAGAGTCCGATATCATTCAATGCACCTTTGACATTTGCCTTGACAGTATTTGGCAATGAGCAGGATCACTAAGAGTGGCTGGGGTGGCCCACGGGCCGGTTAGGTTTGTTTTGGGTGAACCAGAGCCAAACTGATACCAACGGTAGTGAGAACCGAAACGAACCATTGTGATTCGTGGTTCGGTTGGGAATTTTCTATATGTATGCATGTGTACACACCAATAAAATGAAAAACCAAATATGGAAATATGTTTGTGATGATAATATGTGTTGTAATGTATGGTAACCTTTTTCTTTTTATTTTTAATTTTTGGTTAATTTCAGTATGGACAATTTTTATCTTCAACCATCTTTAAAAAAAAATAACTCACCTAAGTCCATTTCTATTTTTTCGTTGAAGGTTCTCTTAAATACAATTGGAAAAGACAATTTTATCTCTAATTTTTTAATCTCATTTATTCCAAAATATCAGCTTAAATGATCATTTTACCCCTACACACACCGACCACCGAGACATGGGAACGAAGATGAAGCACGACGGTTGGAGTTCACGGCTCTGTTCGGAGCTTCGCCGTTAGGTTCGTTGACGCTCTGATATATAGATATATGGCGAAGCTCCGAACAGAGCCGTGAACTCCAACCGTCGTGCTTCATCTTCGTTCCCATGTCTCGGTGGTAGGTGGGTGTAGGGGTAAAATGGTCATTTAAGCTGATATTTTGGAATAAATGAGATTAAAAAATTAGAGATAAAATTGTCTTTTCCAATTGTATTTAAGAGAACCTTCAACGAAAAAATAGAGATGGACTTAGGTGAGTTATTTTTTTTTAAAGATAGATATATAGATATATATCTATATATCAGAGCGGCTTTGGCGCTGGAGACAGAATAGAGGGCTTTGGTGCTGGAGAGAGAGGGTTGTGGCGGTGGAGACAGAACAGAGGGCTGTGGTTGTTGTCGGCAGCATCGTGGAAGAAGACAATCACGAGGAGGAGGTCGCCGGACGGATTCCGATGACGCAACGGCGAACACTCCGAGGACGACCACCGCTGGTTTAACAGAGATTCACAACTTTGACTCCGACGTTTGTAGATTCCAATGACACTCAGAGGATGCCGACGAATGGGTGTTCCAGATTTCGACGACGGATGGGTGTTGCCAGTGGTAGTTGGGGTGGCGACGGATGGGTCTTGCAGATTCCGGTGACAAATGGGTTTTTCAGATTCCGATGATTAATGGGTCTTGCAGATTTTGGCAACGAGATTAGTGATGGGTTAGGAAAGTGGTGGTGGCGGCGGCGGCGGCGGCGGCGGCGGTGGCGAATGGTGATGGGTTGGGATTGGGATTATGTGGGTGGTGGCAGCGGCGATTAAAGGATGTATGTATGTATATATATATATCTCTGTGTGTGTGTATGTATATATATATATATCTGTGTGTGTGTATATATATATATATATAATTTGTAAATGTATAAATTTTTAGGGGTATTTTAGTCTTTTAATTTAATTTTTTTTAGTAGAATTGTTTTCACAAATTCAAAAGGGTATTTAAATCATTTTATATCTAAATTGTCCAATTGTGAAAAATAAAACAAAAATTTGTAATGTGAAATAATAATTATTTTGATAAGATATTTATAGATGAAATATAACCCAATCATTTTAGTGAAATTAACTTTTTTCTTTTTTCTTTTTTAATTAAAATTGAACTTGTGTGTTATATATATATATATATATATATATAAGTAACAGTTCGGATGGATCCTTTTGAACTCCAAACCGGAACCACATCATTAACAATGGTTCTTTAAATATTAAAATAGGAATCAAATTGTTCCATTATAGAACCGGACCAAATTGAACGAGACCAAGCCGTAACAAGAACCATATTGTAAACAATGGTTCTTAGTTTTCAGAATTGGAATGGAACTTTTCCATTATACAACCAGACCAAACCATATGTTTCGTTTGGTCTGGTTTTTTAGTGCACCCATAAGATTATCTTTTATATGTTCTTTTTTTGTTTAAATTCTTTTTTTTCCCTTCTCGCTTGTGACTCCCATTTGGTTCATGGACTTGGCGAGACAGAAAAGAAAAGGAAAGGGAGAAGAAAAAGGAAAAGGAAAGGGAAAAGGACAGGGAAAACCATTTCTACTCATCTTATCTTATACATAAAAAGCAATTGGAAAACAGAGCTCAAATGGTTGCGATTAAGCAAAAAGAAAGGGAAATTCCTCACTATTTTAAAGTGGTAACAAAACAAGGGAAAATAAGATTTTTCCTTACATAACCTCACCAAATTTCACAAACCAAACGGAGCTTATGGGTTCTGTTTTGATTGTCCAAGGGCTCATTCTACTTATAATGTGGTGTAATATTCTGAGTTTCAGTAAGTTCTTTCTTGATCCATAAATTGAAGTTGTAACGGTAATAATGCCTCAACAAGTCCATGTTGAGATTCTTCGTGAGTTTGGGGGGCCTAATGTCAGATTCTACTTATTGTTTAAATTAAACTTTCACATAAACACATCGTTAAGTTTCTCAAAAAATTTGGAGGGGCCAAATAACCAATTGTTATTATAAATTTTAGGGTAAATTGCAGGACACTCCTCATGTTTGCCTAAAAAATTGGTGGATACAACTTAGGTAATTTTTGGACAATAACACCCCCACGTTTGCTTAACCGAACAAAGACATACTAAACGTGATGAAAGTTCATGTTTTCCCTTTGTTTTCAAAGTTGACATCACACCCAAACAACATCACTACCACCAGAGCCCCCCAAATTAGGCCTTATCCCCTTTCTTACACACACCACACCAACCCCATCACACTCAACCATATTTAACCCACCACCACTGTCCACAACCACTCCTACATGAACCCACCACCACCCTATCACACCTAAGATGCACAGAACCTATCGCCGATGTTCAAGGATGACATTGACGGGACTTACCGGTGTGGAATGAACTGCGATCGGATCTAGTTCGTGATCGCACCGAGTCTAAAATTCGTAACCTTCAAATCGCCTTTGTCGTCGACGAGGAGATCTCGGTGGCAACAAGGGCGGTTCGGCCGTGGATGATCTAACTGGCGATGGGTTGTGCAGAGCTCGATTTGGCAGTGGAATAGCGACAGCGATGGACTGTGGACGACTGTGTGTTCGGAACACGGACGGCGGTGTGCTTGGCTGGTGGAGACGGCTGTTGAAAATAAAGTTGATTTTAGAATTTTAGTTGTAATTTGTATTTTCAAGTATTTGGTATACATGATGCATGTGTGCATTTCATGTTAGTGGGGTAGTAAATGGTCTTGATGAAGAAGGTTATGTAAGATTAAGAGGTATGTGAATTAAGTCTCCTAAATACCATGTTAGTGGGAGTAGTGGGAGTTAAGCCTAAATGTTATGTTAGTGTAAGTAATTAGACACTTAAATGTAATTGTTACACCTATGTTTATGTGGCCTATATATTCATGTACTCTAGACAAATAAGAGTAGAAGTGGAATAAAATAATTTTTCAAGTATTCCTCCATATCATTCTCTTCCAAATATTATAGTGTTGTGTGTGTATCTACGCTACTATTTCTGACAAAGTGGTATCAAAGCAAAGTCAGAAAGTGGTATCAGAGCAAAAGCCAACAAAGTGGTATCAGAGTCAGGTTCCATATCAGAGCCAGGTCATTATCAGAACCAGATTTCATGTTCAGAGCCTAGACGATCCTGAAGGCCTGACGAAGTTGATCCTAAAAGGTTTAACATTTGAGAAAAACATGTTTCTCCTTGATGATGATGAAGGGGAGAAAATGTATTTTCTTAGTAAAAAGATAATGTTCTCTAATTACAAGAGAATGAGAATCATCACGACTTCATACCTCAAAGCATGTGATTTGGGATGTTGTTGGAGAAGAGCCAAAGAATGGCATGTCCAACAAGCTTCGTGAAAAGAAAGAAGATAAGGCATTGGTAGTGTTGCAAAAGGCAATACATCAAGAAATTTGGAAAGTCCAAAACTCCAAGTTGTATTTGGAAGATGCTCGAGACCATCGTTTCCAATTATAGAGGTGAATCACTACCCATGGAGTATTAGGTACAATGCTTTGAGGATGATGAGTTTACGAAGGCTGATTATGAAAGTCTTGAGGACAAAGGTATGGAGAATGAAGAGGCGTACAACACAAATGAAGTTGAAGAATTTGAAGAACAACTTGAAATGGTGAATGAGGAAGAGGTAAAGAAATGTGTTGAAGAAGGGATTAAAAAAGTGGAGGAGAATGAAGTTAAAAGAGAGGACAAAGGAGAAGAAAGTGCTAAAGAAGATGCACAAGTTGATGAATTTGGTGCATTAACATCTTCAGGTATAGTTACAAATTCCACCTTGAAAGAACTTATATTTGAATTATTTGATAAAATTATAATTTATTCATATTCATCTCAATTGGAAAAAGAAATCAAATATTATGAAAATTATGTTCATGTTGTGGAGAATGACGAACTTCTCTTAAAGAAAGTTGTTCCAAAGAAGTACGAGATTGAAGCCCAAGATGATAAGAAATTCTCAAATTATTTTTTAAAAAATAGTTTGGAGAATTTTGTAATTGATACAGGTTGGGTGAATATAGAGTTATTTTTTAACTCTAAAGAAGAAGCATATGTGAAGTTGAAGAGTCATAAAAAATTCAAGAACAAAAAAGATTAATGGTGCGTTTGTATAAAGAGGATGATATATGATTATGTGAAGACATCAAATAAGCATTTGAAATTTTTTCACATGCCATATACGTCAATGGAATGGCCAAAAAGATTGTTGCAGATGAAGGAGGTGGAACTCAAGACAAAGTAACAAACTTTTGATCGACTTTCAAGTTACAAAATCAAGTTTAAAGAGGGGTGTTGAAAATAAACTTGATTTTAGAATTTTAGTTGTAATTTGTATTTTCAAGTATTTGGTATACATGCTGCATGTATGCATTTCATGTTAGTGGGGTAGTAAATGGTCTTGATGAAGAAGGATATGTAAGACTAAGAGGTATGGGAATTAAGTTTCCTAAATACCATGTTAGTGGGAGTAGTGGGAGTTAAGCCTAAATGTTATGTTAATGTGAGTAATTGGACACTTAAATGTAATTGTTACACCTATGTTTATGTGGCCTATATATTCATGTACTCTAGACAAATAAGAGTAGAAGTGGAATAGAATAATTTTTCAAGTATTCCTCCATATCATTCTTTTCTAAATATTATAGTTTTGTGTGTGTATCTACGCCACTATTTCCAACAAAGTGGTATCAAAGCAAAGTCAGAAAGTGGTATCAGAACAAAAGCCAACAACGGCTGGTTCGAGACGGCAGCGAATCCGCGACTAAAGAAGTCGCGATTCCGGTGAGGCGGTGATAATCAGTGACTCGGAATGAATCGGCGATGGCTGAACGGCGAGGACGATGGGCTGTGGAAACGATGGTAGAGAGCTTCGGACGACAGCCGGTGAGCAAGATGGACTGTAAATGGGTTGCTCTCTCTGTGTTTTTTGTTTTTCTTGGATTGAAACGACGAATCTGTGTTTTTTTGTTACGAGAGAATTGAAATATATTTTAGGGCATATTAGACATTTTATGTCAATTAAGGCGGCGTTTGGTTCCTAATGTTATTGTTCAAGTTTGCAAACCTGGGGTGTCACTGTTTAAAAATGGCTTAAATTGTATATACTTATCTTTTAGACAAATCTAAAGTAGTGTCATTGCAATTTACCCTAAATTTTAAAATTATTTTTTCATATAACCATATATCTTAGGTTTCTCAAAAAAATTGATGGGTCCATTGCCCCTCTTAGTTTACAAGCGGAGGTAAATTACACCTACCTCTCTGAAATTTAGACAAATTATAAAGGCATATATTTTCGGCTCTTATGGCTTTCGACATAAACTTAGTGAACCAATGTCATACTTCAAATGAAATGTAAAGAATTTTCTTTATGAGAATCACATCATATCATGATCACAATAATCCAAACATCATACAAAGGAGGAAAAAAAAAAAAAGAAAAAAGAAAAAAAAAAAAGTTGCAGTAAAAAATGAAGGAAATCACTTCTTTTTAGTAGGGTAAGAAGCCATTTTGTTGATTCCACATAGTCCTTGAGGCTTCCCAGTGTTTCTCTTCATCCTTATGTATCCTTTCTCTCCCCATTTTGATCCCCAAGAGTTCTTCACAATAATGTAGTCCACCCCCTTGGTTGAACCATATCCAACAGCTGCCACTCCGTGGTCCAGCTCACTTCCACAATGCCCATCAAACACACCCTACAACAAAATCAATCCATAATCACATCACATTTGCTTCCATATATATATATATATATATATATAGCAGACAAATATACATGGAGTTGCAGTGTGTGTATATATATATATATTTTAAGCAGCTTACCCCACTGTAAAATTGGAAATCTCTGCCAGAGGCCTCAATGGCCACACTTAGAGGCTGGTTTGCAAGTGCCTTCAAGAGGCTCTGTTCGTTGTTCTCCGGCACGTCATGGTACCCACTAATGGTCACAACCTCTGATTCTCCCTGATATGCGTTAACCCAAAACATTAGGAAAAAAAATAAGGTCAAGTGCAGAATACTTATAGCACATATCACACTCTTTACATGCAAAAAAAAAAAAAAATAACTGTGTAAATAGGTTCATCTGACAAATTTAAAACTTAAGTTGACTAAATTACCTTACTGAACCATATTATAAAATATATAAAAACCTTACTGAACCATATTATAAAATATATAAAAATAAATAATTTTATAAAATGACCGAAAATGACACTATTGGAGGACGCCTCCCATGTGTAAAAAATAGTCTTAAAGTTTTAATTTGGTACAAATAGGTCACTCTGACAAATTTAAATAATAAATTGACTAAATTAACTTTATTGAATTATTTTATAAAATATATAAAAATAAATAATTTTATAAAATAACTTAAAAAGACAGTATTGGAAGGACACCATCAATGGACAAGTAAAGATAAAAATAGAAAATAAAAATAAAAGTATAAAGGTAAAGTAAAGATAAAAATAAAAAAATAAAAAAACGAAAGTAAAGTGCAAACTAAAGAAAAGAAATCTGCTTCAAACTTCGAAAACCAGTGCACACTGATATTGAAATTTTTTTTTAATTATTATTCATTATTTATTTATTTAGTAGTGTTGGTAAGAAAAAAATAAAATGAAGAAAAAAAAATTAGTAAGAAACAGTAAACTAAAATCTCAACAAATTCAAGTAAAAAAGTTTAGAGATATACATAAAGAAAAAAGCTTAATTTTTTTTTTTTTTATAAAAAAAGGTAATGTGCATATAACACCCCTATATTATAAGATTAGTAGCATATATATCCCCTTGGGCATTTTTGGAAGAGTAAAAGAGCAAAACGAGTATTACATCACTAATTTATATTAGGAAGGGTATTTTAACACAATATGAAAAGATTATGGATGTTTTTTGCACACTTTTTAAAATAGGGAATAATAGTGCCATGCGGAGTATACGGAGTATATTTCGAGATGTTTTCTGCACTTGTCCCAAAAAAAATAGTAAGTGTTACTTAAAATGAGAATCATGTAGTTGAATGCTTAAAATTAAAAAAAAAAAACATAAAAAATTATCAATTTACAAGTAATGCTAATTAAAATTTAAAATTTTGAGCACTTTAGGATACAGTATATAATTAGGGTCATCTTATATACATCATGGATTCTTTACCTTCCTCTCATCACAAGTGCCTTCCTTCATAATATAAGGATAGTCATCTTCCTTATGAAGCCCATGGTTAGAAATGATGAAGGCGAACGCATAATCCATGAGACCTCCATTGCAGCCATGGTTGTAGGTTGTGTCACAGTCAATTAACTCTTGCTCCGACAGAGACGTTAAATTTCCGGTCACTATTTGGTTGATGCCCTCAACAGCAGCCACAGTTGAAAATGCCCAGCAACTCCCTGAATATATATATATATATTTATACACACACATTTATCATTAGATTTCATATACCATCAGACCATTATATACACACCCACTCAATGATACCAATATTTAGGGTTTGTTTGCCCTTGTGTTTTTTTTTTTTTGAAAGGTTAATAAGATTATATTGCATAAGTCAAAGATACTTGTTTGCCCTTGTTATATCTTATAATAAGCACTTTTTTAGGTAGATGTAAAAAATTAAGTACTTACCACATGAACCTTGGTTCTTGACGCGAGTAACAGCTCTTTTCTTTCTCCAGTCCACGGATTTAGGCAAATCCACAACATTTTTGTAGGTGAATTCCTCAGTAGGGTACTTTCTTGTATTTGACAAGTCAACTTTAACGCCTAGATACATTTTTTTGAACTCTTCATGGCTCAGATCTGCAAATTCATTCAATCCAAGCCAATAGTTACTAACCATTTTATTCCTATCATCGATGTGCTTCAGATTATCCTTGAAAACTTGGAATCTCTGCAACTTCTCTTCAACACTTTCGTATGCTTTGCCATGTTTGGACATCCATGATTCAAACAGATCAAGGAGTCCGTCCAGGGAAGTCAAATCCTCTGGCGAATAACCCACAATAGAGAAATCGCGAGCGAAAGCAAAACAGGCGAAAGACGAGACTAAGAAGGAGATGAATAATGATTTAGAGAATGTAGAGAGAGCCATTTCTATCAGGGGTTAAAGGAAAGAATGGTAAATAGTGAATGGATGAAGACGAGGAGGGAGATGGGGTGGCATTTATATAGTCTTTCGTCTCACTCTCATATGTTGCTTCCAAGTCAAGTTTTTGAATTTTATATGTCAATCAATATACCGAGTCTTTAAGGTTGGTTCTTTTAGCGGACTTTCAATCCAAGCATGTTCCTATCAACCTTTGTGATATCATAGATGACGAATTTTATGGTGCTGCACTGCACCATATCAATTTGCATTTGGAGCCATTTTCAAATTTTGATCAAAAGAGTCCATCACAAACTTGAAATTACTTTGGTATCATGTAAATTGGTGATTTGGTATTGATAAAAATAAATTTTTAAAAAATCACAATCAAACACCGAACCCCGCACTCCCACATCTAATTCCAACTTTATAATGTAAATTCCTATGTTTCCAAAGGCGATGTAACTAAATACATGCACTTACAAAAATGGTGTATTAAATTTTGGCAGGCGACAACGCACTCCATTTGTTTTCAATTGCACTTTAATTGCCTATGTTTTTTAAAGGAAATAATAAGAAGTCTTTAAACTCATTAATACATTATTTCTTATTTTAAAATGTCATAACTATAGTATAACTTTAACTTTTTTTTACTACCTTCTTTACTTCCTTTACTATTTTTTTTTTTTTTTTTCATAGGTTCTCTCAAAGAACATAATTTACTCAATAGAGATAATTTTAATTTTGACAGTCAAAACAGATAATTTATTCAATGAAGTTAAGTATTATTATTATTATTTTCAGGTTTAGAGTAATTTTTTTTTTTGGGTAATTTTTTATGGGTCTCGTCAAAAGAGATAATTTGTTCAATAGAAATAATTTTTTTTTTTTTTAGTCTTATCAAAAGATATAACTTATTCAAAAAAGATTATTATTTTCGAATCTTTTTTTTTCGTACTTTTTTTTTTTAGGATCTTGATAAAAGAGATAATTTCTTCAACAAAGGTATTTTTTTGGGGTTTATTTTCCTTGTCAAAGGTGATAAATTTTTATTTTTTGTTCAAGTCAAAATTAAGAGGCAATTTATTCAAGATAAATAACTTATTATTCAATGGAGATTAAATTTTTTCTTTTTTTTGGTCTTCTCAAAAGAAACCTAATATAATAGTAAGGATTAGAAATTAAGAGATGAATCTGAAAGGGCAGTTGTGTCATTTGAAAAATAAAAATCATTTACTTGTATAGTTAAGGTTATAATTGACATTTGCTTTAAGAATGGAGTGCAAATATAGAAAAGTTGAGTGCAAATATCGCCTCCCTAAAATTTTCCATCATTATTTGACCAACTTTATCTTCTTTTTTTTTTTTTTTTTCTTATGCAGTCAAAGATTTTATCAACTTTGTGATTTTTTGGAAACTTTCCATATTATGCTTTTTTGGAAACTTTTCCAATTTCTGATTTTTGGAAACTTGCTGGGGAAAGGGCTGGTTGGACTTTGCATCCTACGACGTTCTCTTCTTCGTTGTTGTTGTGGAAGCATGATTGAGCGGTGGGAAAGCCGAAACCAAAGTTCTGATACCAAACTGATGCCGTCTTACCAAAAGAGGACAAACAATTGATGTCCAAAGCAAGAAAGAAATAAACGAAGAAGGAAAAGAATGCTAGAACAACGAGGGAAACAAATGAGCAAACAATCGTTGCTGCTAATCTATTAAAAATATTATTAATCACCTTTTTTATGATACTTGTGAGGACCTGTCCCTTTTTCATTTGTTGGTATTTATTTTTTTCGTTTATTTTTCGGGTTCGAGTCATCTAGGACTGGACCGGGTAAAGTGCTCGGTAACAGTTCTGGACAGTTCATTCATTCCATCCTTGCATATTATTATCTTCATAGCATATATAGTGGATTTATATTACACTTGTATGCGATTTCAACTTTCATTATTTGGGGGTATTTGTGCAATTATCTTTTGGGAGATATTTTCATTTGTGTTTTTTGTGTGATTATCTTTGGAGATATTTTCATTTGGGGTAATTGTGTGATTATCTTTTTAGATATTTTCATTGAGGGACTTTTGTGCAATTTGTGAAAGTTAGTGCCAAGCGTAGGGATTTGATTGGTGACAAGTATAAGGATTTAATTGGTGGCATGTGGAGGGCTAGATGGGTGACAAGTAGAGGGTGGAGATGTTTGTATGTGAGAGAGGTAGTGCTAAGGTATGTGTTGAGATATTATATCAAATTGTATATTGCACCCTTTTCTCATAATCTTAATCTTCTTCCTCTCACCAAGCTTCCTCCATTGATGCACAACCTTGACCTTCATTTCCCTTTACTTTCCACTCACCTTCTTAACTAGCCATAGAAGGGAGAAAGGCTAGGGACACTAAGGGCTTCAAAACCCTTGTCCCTATTTTCGTTTTCGGGACATTTGTGAGTGCGGGGTGAGTTCGGGTTTGGATTCTTGAATCTCCATAGGAGGATTTTATAACGGGGACACCAAGGACTTAAAAACCCTTGGTTTTGTTTTTGGTTCCGGCCATTTTGAGTTTTGGGGGCCAAGTTTGGGTTTGGATTTGGAGGTGATCTTAGGAGACTTTATCATTCCTCTCGCCTTCCTTGTCGACCTTTCGAAGTTTTGTCGCATTTAGAGTGTTTCCATTTTGGTGTCATTTGAGGATTTTACCTCAAATTGAGGTAGGAGTGTCTTATGCTAGTAAATTACAAATTCTTTGGGTCTTATAGATATGGGGAGTTGTAAAACATGTTTATTTGTTAAATGATATGTGAGCCATGTTTTTACTTAATATATTTGTGATATATATACAATGTATAATGCGTAGAAATGATATTATTATTGCCTTGGCTTGTATCAGGTTTTAAAAATGTTAAGTGATAAGCGTTGAATATTGCATATTCAAGCGCCCTTAATTGCATAGCTCAGTCCATTTTCATGTTAAAAATATTTACTTTATAGGTGTTTTTGTGCTTTTGTCCATTTTTAGGTTTTTTCCTCAAAAATAAAGAAAAATAAGGTTTTATGGGCTTTTGAAGAACAAAATCATATCGGGCTTATTTGACAAAGTCTTACAAAGAAAGATGGCCCAATATCTCATGGACACATTCAGCATTACAATGAGAAAGAAGGTTGAATTCATTGGCCCAAGTTCAATGTCAAGCATATTTTGGCCCATGAAGAAGCAAGGAGTAATTCTAGCAAAAATCAGCACTGCGCACCTGCGACATTTTGGCCATAACTCTTTGCTCCGAACTCCAAATAATGAACCGTTTGATTCTGTGGAAGCTAACTCAGAGTTCTAAGTGGGTTATGTTTTAAGAGAAGTTCAATTTTGACGTTTGAGAGGTAAAAATTAGAGAACAATGTTGCATGTTACTGCTACTAGAATACTGCCAGGCTGTCAAAATTCAGCATTGCATACCTGCGGTAAAAAGGGCATAACTCTTTGGTTAAAAATCCAATTTATACAAAGTTTGATTCTGTGGAAAGTTGATTCATAACCTTAGATACTTCATGTTTTAATGGAAGTTAAATTTGCACATCTAAGGGGTCAAAATTGGAGTTCAATGTCTCATGGAATTTCTGGCAAAAAGACAGTTTGGTCAAAAGTATTCCCTTAATTTAGGGAATGTTCTCCACTTCCTTTAGGAGACTAGGGCCACTAAATTTGGGGTCTTTGTAACCCATTTTTGTATTATTATGGACCATATCTATATAGGAAAATTATTATGATTTTTATTATTGAATTTTCTTACCAAGAGGAGAGGGATTTCTAGGGTTTATGCTGAGTTTTGCATCCATGGGGCTGGAGGGGAATTCTTCTTCTTCTTCTTCAATCCTTGAAGCTGCTGCCATGTCCATGAGGAACTAACTCCCTTCCTAAGGAGTTGATGTAACCTAGACTAAGTAAATATGTTGTAATTGTTTTTTCAATTTGGGGATTCATCTTGTATATATTTGATTTTATAAATTAGAAGTTGTTTACATTGAAATGATGTTTTTTTATAGTGAATTAATGTATGTGATCTTCATTTGAATATATAATTATGTTGATATGTATATCTTGTCTTAGAAATCATATTTGCACAATTATACACTTTATATTCCCATAGTGACAATGGGAATTAATTTATGAAATGGTTATATTGGCATGTTATATGAGAATTTGAATAGATTATGCTTAGGGAAGATGGACCATGCTATACCTTTAGATTAATTTATGTTAGGTAGATAGTCCATTCCTACTGAAGATAATTTATGTTAGATAATTAAATTTCATGTGCTTCAACATACAATTGAAGAACCTTGATAGGCCATGTCTAGGGAGGATGGTTCATACCACAACTTAGTTTAGGTAGATGAATCATTCCAACCAAAGATGGGTTATGCTTAGTTCTGAAATGTATGAATTTCTTGAAGATGTTGTGATTGTTTTATACTTCTACACATCATATTATATACATAGTTGTTTATCCCCAAGTTGAATGCATGTAAGCATGTTTATGAGGTTTTGGTGAAATCAATTCCCTAGCCTTTTTCTCTATAAGTTTAATTCATTTGAATTAATTTTATTTATTATTTTTATGCAATTTCAATTAACAGTTTTAAGTGATAAACAAACCAAACAATCATCTATTTTATCAAATTTAAAGTAATTTTACAACTTTGGTTGCAAAAAACTAGCAATCATCGTGGTTCGACAAACCCCTTCTAATAGCTCTATTCTACAATTCTTTGTGCTATTGCAAGTGATGGATTTAATTGGTAAACAAATTACTCGCATCATTAAGCATGAAAGGAAGTGGTGTAATTTGAGTATTTGATTGCTATATATTTGTTTAATCATACTTTATGTGGAAATTATGACAATATGGATATTCGAGTGCATATGTGTTTATTCGAATGCATATATTCTAGTTCATTTGGAGGATTTACTTAATGTCTACATGAGTAGTATAGCTATGATTTTGGCATCGCGTTGAGTTGAGTAATTTTTCATTATGCGTGGGT